AACTAAAATAAAACAAATTTTTATTCCTCTCATATTTCATATTTATATTTATAAATATTGCCATCTAAAGTACATATCAAGATGTTCGTTCAAACTACCCTCGTATAATATATTTCTAATAACATTTGATGAAGTTGTGGTTATATGAAAATTGTGGGATAATAACTCGTGTTGCTCTAGCATTCACTGTCTGGACTTATATAATATACATAGATGCTAGATAGATAGATAGCAGAGGTTATACAACTTATACATTTATATACATATATGGTATTTATATTGTGTAGCAAAAAATGAGAGGCTGGGCCTTTGATAAACCATCTAGAGAGTAATACGAATCTGGGTTTCATCGTACGTACGCCCCAATATGCACGACTCGTTCCGGCTTATCGCATTCCACTTTAGCACCTCCACACAAACCCAATCAGCCAGCCGGCCAGACCCAGTCAGTCAGTTAGACCCCTGGGCTGGTTATCAGCTCAAGTATATGTTGTTATAATTTGATAGAAATATTGAACATCATTATATGACAGTGCGACCAGTAGAACTGGAACGATCCAGTTTCTGTGTATTCTGCTACATTGCGGCGCACTTGCTGGGGTTTGTTTTCATTTATTTGCCTTCATACCCTATAGACGACTGATACTGGACAAAGGGCGGCATGTGTTTCATGTATAAGATGTGCGCTATAGGCAGAAGCAGGCGTGGCAGACTGCCCTATGAATCATCTCTAGAGTTGATTTGAACTTGGACAACACAATGAAGTTTAATTGTATTCGATATCTATGTTATATTCCCCTCCAATCGATAAAAATCTTTATTGAGCATCCGTTAGTTCTTACGTTCTAAGAGCTTGAGTCATCACAGATCTAGATAGGCCTCAAGTAGACCTTAATAACTTTTTCATTCCTTTTGGCCCATATGGAATTGAGCTGAATTCCCATCTCCAGGATATCTGCTAGTCACGCACACCCGTTGGAACCATTTGCACTTGTTTTATTTGGAATTTTGTACTACGGAAAAATGTTGTGCGCCGCACGCGTTCACCTCTATGAACGCGAGGTTTCTCCGTCGCTTATCTGTCTCAGGGATGCTGTGGCATCTTCTTCATCTGCTTCTTCTTCTCCATCTTCAGCTGTTGCCGGACAATAGTTGAGCTCAATTGTGTGGTCGCTTATCAACTGCGAAGCACAGCTCGCGCCATACAAAGTTCAGTTTGTAGCTTTCAGGGGAATCAGAAAATCCAGATTTTTAGTATAGATCCATAAATATATGTACATATGTGTACATACATACATATATGTATTTATATTATATACATATAATTTCGTTGTTTATATGATGGAATAATACACATGTTGTGCAATAAATTGGGGTCAGGGGTATCGAAGTTTTTATATTGTATTTTTATTTGAATATTTTATAAATATAATATTAGCTAAACATCTATACTGGAATATTCATAATAATGATAATAAGAATAGAGCTTCTAAAAGCTTTCTGTATGGTGTAATATGTAAAGACTGTTATACACTGAGCTATTTGTTATATTATGAAATATAACCAGACTGCTGTGTTTTTCCCAGGCTGTTATATTATATTTCGATTGTTATACTAAATACTTAATGTTCTACTTAAAATCTGTTATATTTCAACAAATCCAGGATCTGTCTAATATGCAACAATACATCTGTTATACCAAAATCTGACTGATGTTCTTGAATGTAGCTGTTATACTAGAACTTTGCACATATATAACAGGCTATAGGGCAAGAAAAGCTGTTATAATATAATCTGACAGGTATATTATAACCTTTCTGATATACTCTTACTTGTGTATTACACACTCTTAACTAGCTTGTTTATTAAGCTGTTATACTACATTCGCGCAGTTTACGTATAACAGTCACATAACCTCATTAAAACTGACTGTTAGACCTTGACCCTTTACTCGTAAAAAAAAAACGTAGTACTATAGCGAAACGTGACAGATATACTAAATCCTTGTTCTTGTATATGGACATTAATATGGAATTAAGATAGGAGCCCATTCACATTGTATATTTAGACAAGCCGTAACAGGAAATATAGCAAAAGCCCCAGCTTTTATTGGCTTTCAGTAAACAAATATCTATACTCTAACTACGAATTTATGAATTGGTTTTATAAATCCCTTCGACAGCACTTGATAAATAACACAGTTAGCCGTATGAAAAACTTGTACTTCAACCCAACAATTTTATCGAGCTTTAATTACGATGCGTAGACAGAAAGGCAAGAAAGAATGTCGCAACTGTACTTCGCGCCTGTTCTAATAACAGTCCAGAGGGCGATTCCCCGATTTCATATCTGTAAGTTAATCTAAAAATAAATCATGACTTTGTCTTTTTCTTTTTTTTTTTTTTTTTTTTTTTTTTTTTTTTTTGCTTTTCGTTTTCCTTTTGCGCACTTCGATTACAAACTCTGAATGCACCTGTTGCAATCGACTGACATTGAACACCAGGTGGGGTCAGATAGTGGGGTGGAACGAGACGGGGGAGGGGGTTGGCGTAGTATCAGTCGCCCTGGGCTAATCGTAGCCACTGATGTCATACCATTTCCGAGTGCTTATTTATGTAAGGCCCCCGCGATCGGAGTCGCTAGCTGGGCTGGTTGAAGCGCAGCATATGTGATTCACTTCCTATCAAATGGGTAACCAGACTGTTTTGCTAACTGATAAGAGTTAACCACCCAGCAGAGCTGACGACGGCAAGCACCGCGCACACCCCGGCCACAGGCGTGGAAGACGCTAGAGACGCTACAGTCTGCCCATTGATAAGATGGCTGGGAATTGGCGAATGCCTCGACTGTTCCAAAAGGAAAACAACAACAGCAACAACAACAACAACAACAACAGCTATAGACTGAATAAGCGTCATCGTCGCAGATACGGCTGGCATTGTTTGTAAATTGTTAACTTGGCCCGAACCGCAACACAAAAAGTCGGCTCGGATCGATAACGACAGCGTGAAACGTCTTTATCTGCACCGTAGCACAGTCAACAGCTGTGGGGGGGTTTCAGCTGAGGCGCTTGTGCGACTCGACCGGGCGAGGGCAAGAGAGGGAAGCAGAGTGAGAGAGAGAAAGTACGAAGTGCAATTTCCTATCGCAGCTGCTACCCCCGCAAAGAGCTGTTGACTCTTATTGCTGTTGTTGTTGCTGCTGCTGCTGCGGCTGCTGCGGCTGTTGCTGTTGATCATTACCCACACACATGCCAACTTGTCGACGGATAGACCGATTTTCCACTTGTACGTTGCGCTGATAAGGCGCAAGTCAGCCTCAGGCGCTAGTCACGCGCCCGCCCGCCCCCCCTTCAGCTTACAGTGGCCAAAACGGTGCTTCACTCACGTACATCACATGCGCGCCGGATGAAGCCGGCGCCCCTCCACTCTACCCCACTCCCCTCCTCGCCTGTTTGCTATCTCTGGCATGTTTAACACTTTGTTGCTGCATGTTTCTACGCACACGCAACTAACTTGGCCCAGAAGTTTGGTTTCTTCTCTTTCGTTATTGTTTTTTTTTTTTTTTTTGGCTACGTTCGGATGTCCGACGGTGCTTAACTGCTCGATTGTTCGGCTCCCCGTCTCCCGCTGGCCTGTCTGCGTGCACAGCCTTCGCTTTGGGGGCTGCCTGATAAGCGCCAATTGTTTCCCTCTCCCTCGCTCACGCGCTCTATCTTTTCGCGCTCTCTCGCTCTGGCTCCTTATCGGTTTCAAATAATACACGAATGTCTGCAGGCGAGCGGCTCATTCGTTTAACAATCGCTCTAGCGAACACTACGCAGCAATAGAGACAATAAAACAAAAACTCAAATATTAAATCAAAAGAAGCAAGATTCCAAAACCAACTAACACACACACACACACGCAATGGATATCCTAGTACAAAAGCCCATCTTCTCCAATAGCGCATACTACGAGCCGCCCTCGAGTGTTGTCTATACGCCGTACAATACGCCGCCGTACATAATACAACCGGTGGCCGGCAGTTGGCTGAGTGAACAGCAATTGCCACAAATGCAATATATCCGATTCCCAACGCCGCCCATAACACCGCCAAGAGCTGCACCGTCTGCTGAAGCCGTTTCCGTTTCCGGGTCCGCTTCTGCTTCAGCTTCAGCTTCACGCACACAGTCCGTCATCATGAAGTGCCCCAGTTCCGGCTCCGGCTCCGGCTCTGGCTCTGGCTCACCCACACACACGTCCTGCAGCGATCAAAGCGGCAGCAGCAGCTGCAGCGACTGCGACTTCATATGCAATTGGCATGATTGCTCAAGGTAAGCTTACACTTTACAGTCGAGCTCATAATAACGGGTAAACTTGAATTTGTTTAAGGAAACAAAAGGTCAATTGAAAATCACTTCAATATATATTTCATTAAATTACATAAATATGATTAAAAATGCATAGCCAATATTTGGCACTCCACTGTAGACATCCCGTTTAACAGTAGCTCTCCGCCTTTGTTCTTGTAGAGTTTTCGAGTCCCTGGAGGCGCTCGCACAACATGTCACATTACGTCACGCCATCGCCTCGCTGCACGACGGGCTCTACTACTGCCGCTGGAGCGGTTGTCAGCGCAGCGATCGGGGCTTCAATGCGCGCTACAAGATGCTGGTCCATGTGCGCACCCATACCAAGGAGAAGCCGCACCGTTGCCATCTGTGCGAGAAGTCCTTTTCGCGTGCCGAGAACCTGAAAATACACATCCGTTCGCATTCCGGCGAGAAGCCCTACAAGTGCCACTTTGAGGGCTGCCTGAAGGCCTATTCGAATTCCTCGGATCGGTTCAAGCACACGCGCACGCACTCCATGGAAAAGCCCTATATGTGCAAGGTGCAGGGCTGTCAGAAACGCTACACGGATCCCTCGTCGCTGCGCAAGCATGTGAAGACGTTCAAGCACAGCATTCAGCTGATTGCCAGCCAGACGACCACCTGTATGCTGGAGGCCAGCGAGCCATCCTACACCTGCCTGAAAGCACCTGTACCTGCACCTGTAGCTGAATCCACAGCCAACTACTATCTGGATTTGGCTGAGCGTGACAACGTGGCAAGCGATTATTCGCTGCAAGCCAAACACCATAGCGAATATGCCAACTCCTCCTCCTCCTCCTCCGCCACCTCATACTGGCAGCACAATTATCGTTATCTACACAGTGAAGATATCAGCATGGATATGGATACACCAACGCCGCTCGATTTGCGCGTGCACAGAACTTGAAGGAGTTAACATAATCTAATCCTTCCACTTAACTCTAGTCATCAGGCCATTATAGAGCTAGCCCTTGTCATTAATATAAGCACTATTATTTAGTTTACAATAAAGACTGTTTTCAATTGAATCACAAACTAATCAAAGGTTATATAATTTTCAGCTGAGAAGACAAAAAACACGCATTTCATATATTAATATCCGTTGAGCTTTCGCATTTCAAAAATTTAGCCAAGTAAAAAACCCAAACAGTGCTGCAAAGGCGCCAAGCTACAGCACTGAAATTAATCGATAGGCGATAGATTCACTTATTCATCTATCGCGCGCGCCAATTTCAAACGCCAAGCTGGTTTTAATGAAATATGTGTTGACTCTTTATTTATTATATAATGTAAATGCGAAAACTAGAAGAGTTTTTTGTTACAACAGTTTTTAAATATAGATTCCTCCATTTACATTTAATATAGGAATGTTATCTTAGCTAAGTCTACTACATATAGAAACAACTTGGGGGAGGGAAATGGTTAAATAAATAGCAAGGGACAAACAAAACAAATGTCAGGTATTTCACAAGTTCAAATAAATACACACTTTTCAAGTTGTATTTCTTAGCTTGCAGCAAAAAAGTAGAATGGAATACAATTATTAATATTGCCAGAGCTATCATCTTATATATATAGATATATATAACGGAACGAAATTGTTTCTCGAAGTTTCTCATTCAACTGCAGTAATTGAGCATACAAGACCCAAGAAATAACTTTACAGATAAAGCACATCCAGTGCTTAAATATTACCTTTTACATACTCTCAATATGTACAGAGCTACAAATCACTTGGCCCTAACCGATTGTTTATATATATTGTACAAATCAAGAAGAACTATAATAAGCAATGCTATATATTGGCTGCAAAATTTAGAATATTACGCCCTAAAGAATCTTACAACTCGTACAATATATTGTCGACAAATCGGGCACTCGTTTAACACCTTGCCGCAATTGGTGCAGGTCGCCATGTGGCCGCATTCCAGAAACACGCACTCAATGGGCGCATCCATGCAGATCTTGCACAGCTCGTCTGTGGCTAGTTTTTCAACAGCTATATATATGATTATATATATATGGATATATGTAATACATCTTGTATGTATGTTTGGTAAAGAGTTTCCACTTACCTGGCGCTGTTCGCAACGTCTTCCATAATCGACATACGCGATCGAGCAGCTCCTGTTTCTCACAGCATCCTTTGTAGTCGACGCGATGCAACATTAGCACCTCCTTTAACTGTTTCACAGTCAAGTTCTCCAAGTCTTTTCTGTAAAGCCATTGATAACTTTACTATCTGACTTTCGTTTATTTCAGCTTCTACTCACCTATCCTCAAACTCTTCCAGGTTCACGAAGCGCGAATCCAAGCTGTTGGGCGGCTCAAAGCCCAAGGGCGAGGCATACACATGGATGCCCTCATCGTCCTCCCAGTGCGTCTCGTGATCATCCTGCGTGGGCGAAAACTCAATCGTAGGAGTTATAGGCATTGGATGCGCAACACCTGTCGCACCTGCCTCGACGCTGCTCAACGGCGAAACAGCGTGACTGTCCGCATCGGAGCACTCCAGAGACTTGGTACGCTGCTCCAGGTAGCTGAGAAACTCTTGCAGCTCACGCTTAATGTCCGCCTCGGACATTTGGGAATTCTCCAAATGTCGGCGCATTTTATCCACATGTCGCCTGATGTTCGTCTTATTCTTGCCGCAACGCTGACAGCTATTGGATGCCACAGCACCTAGCGCCGGCTCCGGCTGTTCGCTGAGCGTGCTCAGTGCCAAGCCGTGGAGAGGAGCCACCGGTGATTCGTCATCATCATCGCTGGATTGATGGCGACGATTCAGATAACCCTCGGAGCGTCGTCGTGTCACCTTCTTAACACGCTGTGGCGGCTGCGGTTCTGTATGCAGCGTCACCTGCAGAATCTCATCATCATTGACTGCATCAACCTCTTGCTGCTGTTGCTGCTGGTCCTGCAGCAGCTGCTGCTGTGGCGGCTGACTGCTACTTGTTTGCTCAAGTATTTGCCACTGATCCAAGTTGCTGCTGTTCGTGTCGGTCGTAGCCTTGCTCTCATCGGAGATGCCGCCAATGGCGCCGAGCTCCTCGAAGCTGGATTGGGATGAGGCGTCTGCACCGCAGGCATCCACTTTGGAGCTGAGTGAGCCCTGCTTGGAATAGCCTGGACTGGTGCTTGTCGTGGCTGTTGTTGTTGCCGTAGCCGTGGTTGCCGTTGCTATTGCTGTTGTGGTCGGTGTTTGAGCCGCGGAGCTGATCTCCAACGTTGGCCTGCTGGCCGGCCCAGCGCTGTTCTCGCTATTCTTAAGCGATGTACGCTCACTGAACGTGGTTATGATCTCATCATCCGAGCAATCACACTCCGAGTTGTCAGGCTCAGCCTGTTGCAGCAGTCGGGCCGCCTCTGTGGCCAAAGTTCTGCGCTCCTGCGTGGCCGTGGGCGATGTTGTCGTATGCGTCGAGGATGTTGATGGACTGACATGCACATGCGCCACCTCTGTGGAGTTGGTTCGCGGTATGCTAGGCGTGCGGACAGGCGTCGGCTGGACACCGCCAGCACTGGCATACGTTGGAATTTCTCTTGTGGACACGCGCGGCTGCTCAAAAATGTGTGTGGGTGGAGTTGTTGCTCCATTATCATTGGATGCCTGGCGACTGTTTGACGTAGATTTTGAACTTGATTTTGTGTCAAAGGACGCTAAGGAATCACTGATATTGTCACTTAGATTGGTGAAAAAGTTTTGGCACGTTTGCTTCAAACTGTCCATGGGATTGGCTTGGCCACGACCCGGACTCTGGTTCTGATTAGGCGGACAGCCTCTCTCTCGATCCGATTGAGCGACATGCGTCAGCACCAGACCAACCAGTTCTTCCTTCTCTGCACAGCCCAAAAGACAAAGACCAATTAGATTTTATATAGATACATATATATGATCGTAGCGGCAAACACTCACCCAGACAGCCTTCAGTGGAAATGTGTTTGGATTGCAAATAGAATATTAAATCCTTCGGCTTTAACTTTAGCAAATCCGTGCGCAGCAAAGGACGTTGAGCAAATATTGCACAGCGCTGGCAACGACGCGACGTCGATGTCAACGTCGTCGCCGCCGTCGCCCCAGTCAGACAATTGCTGCAATAATAGCGCCTGCAATAAAACATTTTAATGGGATGATAGAGCCAAATAAAGCTATTCAATATCAATTTCCGACTTACCTGCAGTCGAAACAGCTGCGTTTACGGCGAAATACCGTGAATTCAATCCCACAGCTTTCGCAGGGCATATTCCTATTGGTGTGTTTGTGTGTGTCTGTGCGCGCGTGTATGTCCTTTCGATCGAACGTTACCTTGCCCTTTGCTCCTCTCTATGACCAACTCTTCATCGCAATTTCTGTTTTCAATGTCAAATCGTGAATCAATCCGCATAGAATGCGCGTAATATTTGTACGCAGTTGAAGCGCCACTCAGCTGAGATAATTGTTTCACACAACTACTTACTTATCGGGGCCTATAAAGTAAATTGCCAAGTGGATTTTTACAAATTTTTATCAATATGCAATAAGTACGCACGTACATATGTATATATATTTGTATATGTGCATGCGTTTGTGCACAATAGTCAACACATCACTGGTAAATTCGATAGGCGCGTAGGCACAACAAATATCGATGGCACTATCGATAGTAAAAATCGCTCAAATAAATAATTAAATAAAAATCATTATTAAATTTAACAATATAATTAATTAGATTTAAATAAATATAGCTTAATTATGTTTTATTATCAATATTCTGCAATTCGCACATTCGTTTTACAACTAAAAATTAAAGCTTTGCACATATGACACAAATATTATTTGAAATTTAAAGATTTTTATTGGTTTCTATTAGTTTAGTTTATTTTTATTTAATTCACATCCACTACTTAGAACTAAGTATGTAATTTTAATGCAATTAAATAGTTAAGTGCCATAAAATGATGCAATCTTTTAATATTTTGCTTTTGTTTGTTTGTTTCTTTTAAATAATACATCAGTTAATTGCTATAATTTATATATATGTATATATATATATACGATTTTGCACACATTGAAAAGATGTTTGCTCTTCTAGTTGAATCAAGTCATTTAGTACATATACTATATACACATGTGGTTTCGTATGATTGAGCTTTTTCGAAATTCTTGTTGATAAGTCTTTAAAATTTATAAACAAATGCGTCCATTGCCCTTTTCTTTCATTTCATTCTTTCCTTTTAAGTGTTAAATTGTTTGCAGTTTAAATTATCAGCTAGCTGGCTGTTGTCTGACTGTCTGGCTATGAGTGCAGTTTTCTCTTTTGTTGTTCGAGTTGGTTGTGAATCATCCAAGCAGCGCCAGCACCGCATCGTTTAGATCTATGACCGACTACAAAGGTGTTGCAACTTGCAAGTAAACAAAAACAAAACAGAAATCAAAAGATATCGATACGAGACAGGGAGTGTCAGAGAGAGACAGAGAGCGCGTAAATAAATATCGTATTTAAAATTGTACAGATTTAAATTTCTATTGAACGTCGCTTGGCCCTTCAAAACGGTTCTGTGTGTGGGTGTTCTGGGTGTGTGGCTCTGTGTTGGGCTACTGTCTGACACACTTAAACTATGACACATGACGCATATCGCCACCGGCTTTGACATGGCATTGCAATGGATCATCATTGTTGTTGTCATCATCGTGGACGGTGGCCATTTCCAGAGCACGATTCTTTTCATATTCGACAAAGTCATCGAAGAGACTTGGCCACGCTTCGGTATCATCGTAATTGTCTATATCACATTGTTCAGTAAAATTGAGGTACATGTTCCATGTATCCTTGGGTATGCGTCGTATGTTCGGATGCTTATCGAGGAAGTTAACCCAGTTTGAAAAGAGATCAGGTGTTTGTACAGTGAACACAAGTTTCCACAAATCGATTGCCATTTCAAGCGATAAAACGCGCTGATCGGGCTCCAAGCCGAAACTGCAAAACAAATGGATATAAATATAAAATAAATAATTATTATAGCGTATTGACCTACCGAAAGGTAAAACGATAGAGCTGCTTAAACATTTCCGAATCAACCTTAAGCATCTCAATTGTATGCTCAAGTCTTAAACGTATGTTTTCAATTGAGTCTGCACGCATCTTATGGAGGCCATCGATGAACTCCGTTCTGGTGAATCGGCACATCTGTGAGGCATCCAAGCACCAGGCAAGCACAAGTATTGCAAACTCATCCGGCTGATAATTAAGATCAAGGCATAAACGTTCAATGCCATCCGTGAGTATCATATCTTCTTCATCGGGATCTTTGTAGATCTCAAATAGTTTATTTAGCGCTTGATGTGACACCTCCATGGACTCTTTCACTGCTGTAATGAGAATAACTATTATTGTAATCTCATTGAATATATTGTTTCTCTACTGTTTCACTTGCCAGTTGTTATTATGTCGCTCATGGTTGGCGCACTGCCATTAAGCAAGCCTAAGGACTTAAAACTATTACGTTTAGTATCACAATTGTTAGCTGGCTTGAGTGGAGTTCGATTAGAGAGCAATTCATCAGTTTCTGTGAAATAGAAAATTCAAAATAATAATCATGCGGAACAAATATATTTCAGTCAGAAATCTCTTACCTCGTGGCCTGTCGTTTGCATTAGATTGAACAATGTCGTAGCAGTTGCCAATGCTGGTGGCCGCTTGGCAGCTGTTGTTGGCGTTTAGATTTTGCAATGCGTTTGGTAATGATTGGCTTGTTGGCAACGTTGGTGCGGCGGACGAAGACGACGACGACTGGAAGCATTTCAGGCAATTGCCCATAGTGCGATGCACGCTTCTTCAACGGGCCGATTGGACTTAACAATATTCTATGGGTTGCTATTTTGCTTTAATTTGTTGTGTGTCTGTGTGTGTGTGTATGTAAGTGTAATTGTTTGTGTGTATGCGTGTTGACACTTGTCTATATTTTAACTTGGCTACTATGGGCTATGGCTTTCAGAGTGTATGTGAGTGTGTGTTGTGTTGATATTAATTACTTAGTTAGCGTTAGCTCGCCTTGACATTGACTGCTTGACATTGGCACTGGAATTTCCATGGAACGTTGACGAGCTTGTGCACGCGGGAAATGCTAATGCACCATTGATGCATCGAGCATATGTTAAAGAGTTCCTTGTTGCTGTTTCTACTGCTGCTGCTACTGATGCTGTTGTTATTTTGATGCCTCCTACGCAAACTCATATGTGTGTATGTATTTGTGTATGGGTGTATACATACACATATACATATGCAAGTGCAGTAGTCAGCAAACCACCACAAATGTGCGTGAATTCGTCAGCCTCAGTGTATTTCACATTTTACATGTATGTTCTATCGCACCACATTACACATAGTAATCCATATTCATATTTATTTGAAGTTTTTAATCAGTTTTTTATTTATATTTATGTTTTGTATGTGTGTTTCACGAGGCTACGTTTTTTCTGCAAAATTGCTGGCCCTAAAATAACTATTGCACGACGTATCGATAACATGGGACATGGCACCAGGGCTGCAAGTATATCTCAGCACACGAATTTCAGCTGCAATCGATAGGTAAATTAAACCATAATTTAGTTACAAATTTCAACATTTTTAAATATTTGCATGTAATTTATGTATTTTTTTTATTCGCTAAATGCAGCTCATATAAAACTAGAGTTTAATGTGAGTGCTTTCGATCAGTATAATTTTGAAAATTCTAAGCTTTGGTTCGGCTTGAGGTCTGGCAGCTCCGTACTGAGTGGCGCACTCTCTGTGGCGATTGTCGCTCCCGGTTTCAATTCCAATTAGAGTTTCAGTTGCCAAACAACACTCGACGGTATACGCTTGCCCATTCCGCTGATCGCAAAAGAAAAGCCACGGCTCTTGTTGTTGCAACAACAAAAACAACAACAAAGTGTCAAGCTGTTGGAAAATCGTGTGTGAACTTTGCCAAAAAAAACTAAGTATAACAGACATTTTTTTGTTTGTATACACTTAATGGTCGAGTGCTTTCGTGGTTCGTTTTATTATTTTGGGCAATTCGTAGCCAAGAAATAAGGTTGAGTGAACTTGTTGTTGGGTATGTGTGCACACACACATTCATATGCAAGTAATTTCTTTTGGCCAACTGAATGTACAGCATGATCATCGTATATGTGCATTTGTGTGCGTGTGTGTGTGTGTGAACTCCAACCGGAACGTGAGCTCGAGCTTTTCCTTTTCACTTCACAGAAAGTGTCATACGAACTTTTTTTTAACAACGTGTGAATAGATCTAGTAAGAATTTACCGTTTGAGGTCGATTTCTTTTGAATTTGTAAGTGAGGGGTTCTTAACGTAAGGCTTAACTGAATATAAAATTAATAATTTATAAACAAATGAACTCTAAAGTACTTTCAATAACTTAACTATACATGGTTTTTGCCATCTCAGACATTCGTTTTGGTATGAGAATTTCATCAATGTCAATATCACCAGCATTATATGGGATCCTCTCGCACTCATCCTGTAAGTCGCTCATGCTATATGCTCGTGTCTTGTCCACTTTTTTGATATCTAAAGAGTTCACCCAAGTGATTTCACATTCCAAATCCGATTTGCATTGTTTCAGCCAATCCTTGCCATGGGCCTGTGATTGGGTTTGCAGACGTTGCAAAATAGGTTTCCTTAAGATATTTTTCTTTTTCAATGTCTTCAGTTTGAGCTGGCTCAAATTAGATTCCTTCCTCCATAAATAGAGATCGGTGCAATCGTATGGTATATAGAACGGGTTCTTCTCAATGGGTAAACATTTGATTTCCTGGTTAGCCAAGTTGACAGCCGACTTGAAGTTGAAGTCAAGTTGGCCCAAGCATTGTTGGTCCATTTCTGCAGTTTTGTCCTTAGATTGTTTATACAAAATATATTTATATAGATAGTAAAAGTATTAGATTGAAATTTATTTGTGAGTGTAATCATACAAACGAATTGAATGTAATCTGAAATATTTTCAACAGGCTTACTTTGTTTGACCAAATTTATAGATTGAACGATTACATTAGAACTATTAATTTTACTAGTGTTGAGAAATGCTAAGAATTATTTAAAATTTCCTAACCGAACAATTATCATTTCATGTCAGATTCTTACAATCATTTTGCGAGGGTTTTCTAAGTTTCGACTCAAAATTCGTCTGGCTTTTTGCCTGTTTATCATTACAGTAAGCTCTCATATGAATGCATTCATCAACAAATCTCAATTTAATCGGTAATTATTCAATTTTTTATTTATTTGGAAATACATATAAATCGAAATTGTGTCCTGTCCATTGATTACAAAAATATTGTTAGTGTTATTTTGTTTTATAGACAACATGAAATGAAGCATGAATATAATTTAATTAACTTAATCCTACTTGTTGGCGCCAATGATGCCTTCTTGAATGAGTCTAATCCAACTTGTTGACGATCAAAGGCGGCGACATTTTTTCCTTCTTGATATCCTTGAACTCTACCCACTTGAGCTCTTTCTCCATTTCTAGCCAGAGTTTGCCGCTTAAATTGATCTGCGTTTGCAGATTACGCTTAAAGGAGTCCTTATTCGTGTCCTTCTTCAATTTTAGCTTCTTCGCACTCTTATTGAGTTCCTTGCTGTTGACTTTAGTCATTTTGAAGGATATTGAATTTATAATTTATATTTTCGGATTTGTGATTTTTATGTACTTGTTATAAGTATAGATATAAATTATGTATATATGTGTGTTTCTACTGAGAGCTGTATTGCATCTAAATAAGTATTACTGGAGTGTTCCTTAGCTGGCAAAGTTCCTCGAAATTGGCCTACTGAGATCGAATATAATTTAGCTTTTATTCAAACAGGTTCGTAGTCTATGGAAATACACAACAGATAAGAGGTGGAAAAATGACTTCAGATCGTTTTCACAAGTGAGTAAAGAACATGCAATTAATAATGCTACCTCGTAACATCGTACGTATCTTATCTGCGCTACAAGCATCATTAATTGTTCTTTGCTTTCGAACAGAGCTGCCAAAGACGGGCTGCTTGATGTGCTGAAGGAGGCAACGCGTAAGGATGCCAATGCCAAGGACGATGACTCAATGACACCCGTCATGTGGGCAGCATTTGAGGGTCGCTTAGATGCGCTGCGCTTACTATGCGGCAGGGGGTAAATAATAAATAATTTTAAGACCAAATATTCCGGCTGTATTGTAAAATTATTCTTCTGCAGCGGCGATCCGGATAAGTGCGATCAATTTGGGAATACAGCGCTTCATTTGGCTGCAGCTAAGGGACATTTACATTGCGTTGATTTTCTGTATAAATTCGGTGTTAATATATATGCACTGGATATTGACAGACACAATGCCAAGGATCTGGCAGCCATAAATAATCGCGACGACATTTTGCGTTATTTAGACGCAGCTGCAGCCAGTTTTGAGGCAAATGAAAAGTAAGGCGCGAACCTGAATTTGAATAATTGTTATCGATGGCAAGCAAGGAGTGCTTGTTTGTAGAGTACCGATTGCTACACTTGAAAATAATCGCAAAAGTCCCTATCGATAACAGACAACGACTGTTTAAGGGAAAATGGCTTGCCAATTTGAGTAGAGTTTTAAATCGCAATCTCTGGTATCGATAACAAGGACTGTGTTGCACTTTTCAAATATTTGAATAAATTTTAATACTTGTGCTTAATTAATTAATGAAACTATTTAATTAACAGAAAAAAGGCAAAAGCGCTCAAGGAAATAGCTGAGAAAGAGTGCGAGAAACGTGTGAAGGAATATATGAAGCGCCAGCAGCAACAGCAGCAGAAGCACGATTACTGCGATCTAAAGCCAAGCAATGCTCAGACATTGGTCAGCAGCAGCAGCAGCAAGTCGAGCAACATGCTCTCCACGCTGAAGCAAAAGATTTGGTCCAGCCAGGGCAATCTGAACAAGACGCCCAGGGAGCAGGCAGCAGCTACAGCACGCACATCCGCGACCAAATTCAGCGATCTGGTGGGCAGTAGCAGCAGCAGCAGCGGCGGCTCCACCATWGCCAGTCGCATGGGCACAGTGCAAAAGAAGCCGCCACAGCAGCAGCATCAGCAGTCGCAGCTGCAACAGCAACAGGGAAAGTCGCAACACTCCAAATCCTGCCCACATGCTGCGGCGAATGATGGAGGATTCAAGGTGCGTGAACTGGAGCCGGATGGCAAGCGTACAATAACGTCGCTAACAGGGCTACAAAGGGACTCGGAGGTGCTGTATGTGGGCACATTTAGCTCCACGGATGAACAAGATGGCAAGCGTGGCAAGATTGCAGATGTCTTCGAGCTGGATGACGAGGAGGTAGGACGTCTGGGCTATAGCACGGCGCTGGCGCGCAGCTTTTCACAGCCGGATATACTAGGCGATGCACAGCTCTCGCAGGAGTTGAACGAGGAGCTGCAGGTGCTGCAGCGACCTGTCGGTCTCTTCGATCGACCGACCATGCTGGGCAGCATTGCCTTCCGACGTTCAGTGACTGCGGCGCTGAGTCAACTGCAACTGCAATCGGATGGCATCGATAGCGTCTCCAGCTCAACCATGCGAAATGCAAGCAGCAGCAACAACAACAAAAATAACAGCAAAGCGCGCTTGTATCTGAATCTATCCGATGACTCCGACTCTGAGGGCGCTGGCGATGATGTCTACAGCGATGATGACGATGAGGAACAGGTGTCGGCCAGTGCACTGCAGCGCTTTCTATCTGTGTGGGCACTAGAGGAATATTTGCCTGTGTGCGTAAATATATGTTATATACTCAATTGTTTTGCATTTAATTTGTGCATTTCAGTTTTCAGAAACAGGAAATCGATCTGGAGACACTTATGCTGCTGACGGAGGCGGACCTGAAATCGCTTGGCTTGCCACTGGGACCCTTTCGCAAGTTGACATTTGCTATACAGGAGCGTCGCAATGCTTTGGCTACACCTGGACCACTTGTGGATAGTCGGCTATAGGCTGAGGCCCCAGTATCCCAGCATAAGATGTTTCTTTGCCTCTGCTTTTAAAACTTCAATTTTATTATGAAATGTATTAATGGATATTGTTATATATGCGAATTCTGTGTATGTTTGCTTATGTATATGTATCCATATATGTATGTATAAACATATGTGCATGACGAGCTAAATAAACAGAGATCACAACTGCATAAGATGGAAGAGACGAACACAAAAGCCCACCATATTCTCTTATGGACTGAGGCGGATTTGAAATATATACTGGATATTACAAATGATTATAGTCTAATATATATGCAGACCTGTGTCTCCTATAAAGGGGAATATTCTCTTAGCTTACAAAGTATTAGATTTTACAACTCTAGATGAGTGAGGTGAAAATTGTAAGCCACCATAGACTTCTGCTAGTAGTGTGGTGAATATATGCATATAAAGGGGAATACAGACACCATGCTCTGGTACATACATATAAACAGCCGTTCCTCACTCTACTTTTATCTTAGAGAGGAAATAAAATATAAATAAAAAAAAATTGTATATATTTTGTTACATACATATATCACTAAGCTTTATTAGTATAACGAGTTAGGTTTCAATTTCCTACATTAATTTTAACTGCTCTCAGAGCTTTAATTCAAGTGCAACTAGAATAAGGTCATACAAACTACAAAATGAATAGACTTAAAGCTAAACACGATTTGGCACACCTGCTTCGATGAGCTCTCTAATTAGTTGCGAACTACGAACCAGGTACGAAGCCCAGTCTAAAGTATGTTTACTGTTCTAGGCGATATCTAGATTCCGACAATCACTATCTAGCCTATCCAGCCACCTGCTGCATCATGTAGAGGTTCGCATAGATGCCATTCAATGCCATCAGATGATCGTGTGTGCCCTGTTCGACGACTATTCCACGCTTCAGTACACATATCAGATCGGCATCACGCACTGTGCTGAGACGGTGGGCAATCGTCACACAGGTGCGTCCAGCTCTGGCCTCATCGAGTGCCTGCTGCACCACCTTCTCGCTCTCGAGATCGAGGGCGGATGTAGCCTCGTCCAGTATCAGAATCTTGGGATTTCGCACCAGGGCCCGAGCAATAGCGATGCGTTGCTTCTGGCCACCGGATAGCTGGGAGGTCTTGCCCACACGCGTCTCATAGCCCATCGGCAGGGAGCTAATGAAATTGTGTATGTTCGCCTTCTTCGATGCCTCGATAATCTCCTGCATGGGCACATCGTCACGGAAATTATTGCCATAGGCAATATTCTCGGCAATGGTGCGATCGAAGAGCACCGGCTCCTGGGACACCAAACCCAGCTTGGAGCGTAAGGTGTCCAGTGGGAAATCCGTGCTAGGCACACCACTCAGATTGACCGAACCCGAGACGGGATCATAGTAGCGCAATAGCAATTGGACACACGTGGATTTTCCCGAGCCCGATGGACCCACCAGTGCCACCGTGGTGTTCTTCTTAATCGTGAGATTCAGGCCATGCAAAATGGGCGTGTCCTTGCGCGTAGGATACTCAAAGCGAACATTCTCATAGACAATATCGCCCTCCGATTTCTGGAAAGAGCAGGAAACCAGTTCAGTAGAGAAAGACTTTCATTCTGCATAAAAATCCGATACCCACCTCAGCTGTATTATATGGATTAAGTGGTGGATTGGATTGCTTGGGCATCTGCTCGAACAGTTTCATTAGGCGTCCCGCGGAGATGATGGCATCGTTGACATTCGGCGCATAGGCCAAGGCCTGACCCAGCATCCAGGAGCCAAAGATCAATGCCTCGGCAACCTTAATGATATCCTCGTAGGGCAAGCCGTCATTGGCAACCAACAGGCCGCCATAGTAGAGCGAAACGCCATAGGCGAGGAACGGTGCCGTCTGACCCAAGCCAAAGACCAGACCACGGAAACG